TATTAGAAACAAAAGTAAGCAGATACAAACGAACCAAAAGAAGTGAGTGATTTGATATAATATTTTAGATAATGATTAAATTTATTGTTTTAAATTGATTTTTATTGAAAAAAAATTAGGAATGTGTCAAATCGTATGGTTGCTGTGGATAGTAAGTGTAGGTGGAAGGATAGTGAAGATAGGCAATACAGAAATTGTAAGAATTTTTAAATATTTATTGTCGGGAAATGTCTGTGTTCTTAACTAGTTTTAGTGATAATTGTACCGAAAATGTTTTTATTGTTGATTGTTGTTAATTATAGAAAGTGTCGTTGGAAGGCCTGCTGAAGAGGGACGAGCAAGTCCGAAACACATGTTTAAAGTGTATGTGTTCAGGTGAACTAAATAAAGAACATTATTTTTGAACTGTAAGACTAAATATCTGCATCCATAATTCCAGTATAATAAGTCCTGTTAATATATAGAATGTACTAGTAATACAAAATAAATTTTAAATAGAGTTATAAAAAAAATATAAAAAAAAGGACAAAAAGGCATAATAATTAAATGAGTCATATAAATTCACTACTAAAATTTATATTTTTATTCTTACATTTAGAAGTGATATTTTCAGGATCTTGAGTTGATGCCCCACCAGTATTACTGGTAGAAAGATTTACATTTGCAGTATTCGAATTCTGTTCCAGTGACGAAGAACTCGAAACATTTGTCAGGAATTGAATAATTAATTCCGTAACAGGTGGATCTGTCAAAATAAAATTTAACACTTTAAAAAATTGCTATTAATTATTATAATCGTTAGTAGTAACAGAAATTATCATACTATTCTTTAAAGTATTGTAACTAATGATTCATATAAAACATTATAAATGTATAGATATATTTCATATAAATATTTTCTTACTTTATTACTTACAAGATAAATAAATATACTTAATATATATTTTAAAAAAAATAAAAAAACAAACAAACAATCAATATTAATGCAAAAAGACAGAAAAGTAAGAAAACTTTCAAACATTCATTCCACTCCAAGATTCAAAACACCAAAAAATTTCATTTCATCTTCTAAGATGTACAAGTTGCATACAAGTGCTCTCAGGTTATGGTTAATAGAAAATTAATATACCAGAAGAAGCTGGCAGTTGTAATTATATTCTGAGGTACAATTTGTCACAGAGCAGAGTAGCACTCTACAATAAAGCTTCATCGTGAGTGTAATGTCAAAGTACAGACTCCGACCCTCGACAGCTCTGCAACAGACAAACTGATCCAGAGGAAATTTAAAAACAGCATCTGTGACAGGTATTGTGGACATCTAGAATTCAGAACTGGCATGGCCCAGGTTTACAAGAAGATAAAGTGACAATGCTAATATTAGCTATAAAATACATTTTTTATCAGTTTTGGATCAGTGATCACACTTACGTTGCAGTGACATTGGACCATGTGATGTTCATGCTTAACAAGGAAATTTCCCGTAGATTGCATTTTTAAATATTTTGGCCAATGGCATATTTTAAACTTCATTAAATTTAAACTTTAAAAATGATAGCCATATTGTGTCACTTCTATAACAAATTTTTTTTAAAAAAACTTTCCATAGTGACCACACACACCATTCTATTATCCAATCAGAAGTAACTATTTAACAAACCCATTATTTAAAAAGTGTTATTGCTTATCTAAGTAATTCCAATTCGAATGAGCCATGATTCTGCCATGACACATGGTGTTGTAGTGGACTCGTGTCTCACTAGGATTGGTCAAATCTGGACAAAATCTAGTCAAATCTAGCATAGGGAAAATCAGGGAATTACACAGCAAAATGGCATTATTGTGAATCAGTGTAAACTGAGGGCTACCTGTACTCCATAAATGACCAAAATTTATTTAGAGTATATGTATATATGTTTTTAGCCTTTATGTTAGGCTTTCCTCAATGCTTAAAGTACTTCTAAATAGCTAAAGTGACCAGACATACTGATTTTAGAGATTGTCTTCTTATTTCAAATATGTAGTTAATTTTAAAGTTGTGCTGATTAAGAAAAAAAATTCAGAGTAGTTCTCCTTTGCAAACTTTACATCCCTTCCACCTATAATTGGCTGTGAGTGAGAGGTTTTAGTCTCAAACTCTGTTTTTTCTCAATAACTATCATAAGTCTCCTTTCCAAAATAATGTTATCCAGACAATATTACGGTTACGTATGTCATGTGAGCAATGAATTTATAATTAATTCAAACAATAAGTTTTTTAAGCTATATACTTATGCATATTACAGAACATTCAATTACTAATAATAATAGCACTTCTCTCAGTGAAAGTATCAAATTTTAAGTCGTCCTATGTTTTATTTTATTCGTAATTCCATCTGATAATCTTACAATATTAAATTTTTATAGAATAATTCATTTTTAAGCAAGGTGTCTATTCATAAATTTATTATAGTAGAGTCTCGAAAACTTGGCACTCAATAACCCGGCAGTCCGGATAACTCGGCCACACCCTGGCAGAGCAAAAAAATCCTTAGTTAAATTAATTTTCATTATAGACAGCTTTATAAAAGTATAAAAGCTCTCGTAAAGTGTTTTTCTGAGGTCTGTCTTATCAGGTAAATTACTGTACACAGTGTATTCATTAATTTTCATTTTCATGTAGTAAAGGCTCTATGCCTTCATAAAGGACGTACTTTTCCTTTGTTTAAGGGTATTTGGGCAGTTTATTCTCTGTTGTATTCTCAAGTAAACAATACATACAAGTACAGTACAGTATTTTCTGAGGAAACACTCATACTCATTTTTTTTAACCCCATTCCCGATAACCCAGCATTTTCACAAACTCAGCCACTCTTTGGTCCACATTAGGCCGAGTTTTCGAGACTCTACTGTATTTTATTTTCACTTTTAACCAATAATTTTGAACAAAGATTTTTAATTTATAATTATGAATAGAAAACACAAATATTGTACCGGTGTATTTTAAACCACATGAACTACATTCGATTTTATTTAAAATGTAACGAGTTGACAGTATGATAAACAAATGATAAGCATATACTGCATTCCATTATTAACCAATACTGAACAAGAGAAGACTACCACGTGTATCGATACCAACAACTCCAGTTCCCGCGATTGGCGCTCTTCGCCGTAGTGGCATAATTTAGAACTAAGATTTTAGCATCGTGCTTCGGACCCGTGGTAAATGAAATTCTTACCCGGATTGGGAAGAGCCAGATGCTTTTCTAGCAGCGAAGGTTCCAGCAGAAATTCGAACCACAATATTTTGGCCGGAGTCGAAGGTCTGGACGACGCCGGATTCGACCGGTTCATCTTCATCCGGTCCCGATCGGGTGGTCGTCGGCGGGCCGAATTAACTCCTGCGGCGAAATGTGCTCTTTGTTGCACTTCTGCCCTTGGCGTTCGACTTTATCAACGACCAAACTCAACTACGTGCAACGGTCGCCTTCTTTAGTCAGACTCGGACAATTCTTTCTTCCCTTTTCTTTGCCCAGATTGCCTTCGTCTACCTCCTTTTCGGGTTACGGGAGGGTAGAAGTTACACTGCTATATCGGCCTGACAGTCTAGCAGATTAAGCAGTGGCGCTCCCTGGTGATGATAGACGGAAGTACATACGATGACGAAGACTTTCGCCATCGTTAGTCGCACATGTCTACACATGTGTAGCGTTGCCAGATCTGAAGGTTAAAAAGTAGCGGATTTGAACTGTTTGTAGCCCAAACAATAAAAATGAATTATTTTGCAACTATGCACTTTTACTAATGAAATAAGTTAGTAATATATATATATATGGACATATCTGCATCAAGTTTCTCTAAATCAAAACGAGTCATTCGCAGGCGAGGCGATTAATTTTTTAAACTTAGACTTAGCGACTACGGCTTTTGTTTTCAGTTTTAAGGCCCCTGTTTCCATCGTATCAAGAACTGTTGTATCAAAATTTAATAACTTTTGGATCACTTATTGGGAGAGAAAATTGGCAATTCCAACAGGATAATGCTGCCATTCATGCATCAAAGTCAATTAAAAATTGGTAGTAACGGTGCGAGCTCAATAAATATCTAGTGTTGCCAGATCTAGTTATCTAAACGTAACAAGTTCGATACTCGTTTAATACTTGTTTTAGTACTAAAAAGTACTAAAGAATTAAACGAGTATCGAACATGTTACGTTTCAGTAAAACTATCGTTCATTGCAAATATTGAACAAAACTTTAAAAAGGTGGCAACATTAGCAAGGAATTTTTCATTACTTATTCTGTGACGAAACTGAATTTTAGTCTTTTAAATTGAGATACCTAAATAAGGGGGGGCGAAATTTTCCTCCGTCCCCGGCGGCTGACACCCACGCTACGCCACTGGCAATACATCAACAATATCTGTTTCTAATAATATAGACATCAGAAATGAAATTATTAATAAATATACAAAGAATATTTATTCATGTAATTTTACATAATTCAATAATGCTCTGTGTCATATTATCCGACTGGGTCCAAATGGACCTAAGTATTTCTAACCTCATAGAACAGAAACCAATACACTGTATGCATGCTAACATGTTGTTCTTGATTCCTCTCATCCATATAAACAATATATAATTTTTATAAAACAAAAGCTCAATTAGCTTATTTCAAAATTAATGTTAAATACAAGTACAAAGTGGCACTTTCAATTACATCAAACATTCACCCGTAAATAAAGAATAAAACTCTACTCGTTAATGCAATTGAATCTGTGCTGCACTCTAGTGGTGAGAAGACATGCTAAAATATAATGGTGCCTTATGGACACAATAGGCATTTGTGGATGACTTTAAATATAATGTAATTGTAAAAGGTCCATTTGGACCCATCTGACTGGAAAGGGTTATAAAATATTTTGAATGAAAAATATTAAAATATGTACAAAATAAACCATTTTGAACACTTTTTTATTATTTACCAAAAAAATATTGTTCTGGCATAAACAACGTTAAATTTTAACTGACTTAATTTTGCAAACGCATCTTTTTTATTTATATGGGTATCTTAAGGTCAGTTTTTGCGCTAATGTTGCTAATGCACCATTTGAGCGAAAAAAAAAAATTGTTAAGGAAAAATTTTCTGTTAGAGAACCCTTTGTTAAATATTTCGAATATCACCACTGAAAACACGGATCAGTCGTACTCCCTTTTGTGCTCTGAAAACGACGCGGTATTTCTGTACGTATTATCGTTCGACTGGCGACCGAGTAAAATGGCAAAGTAACGCTACCGGACACAATCGTTGTTAACTAAGTTATTACTAGAGAGGCTGATGCGAAGTTTTCATCTCTATAACGTGAATGTCGAACGCTGAACGCCGCCATCTTGTAAGCCTAGAAGTTTGACAATGGCGTTTGAAACGTCATTAGAATTATGCTCGATGTTCCAAACGTCATTGTCCAACTTCTAGGCTTACAATATGGCGGCGCTCAACGTTTGACGTTCACGTTTTAGAAAAGAAAATCTCGGCCACAACCTCTCTATTAATTTTGGATGGCCGAACGGCTAAGGTGGCAACCTACCGCTCTGGGGGGCCTAGGTTCGAATACGGACGGGTCCAAAAAATCCCTAGGAATTTTTTGGGGCTGATTCGACCGGATATGTTGACCCCCGTCCCTCACCACCCGGCCGCCCAATTGTGGACCTAGCCGAACCTATTATGGGCTTGCTAAGAGGCCTACAGTTCGAGTTTTCTTTTAGACCTGCGGCCTTACACACATGCGGCGCGGCAACGAAATGCGATGTGGCAAACGCATCTTGGCTGCGCGTCAGCAATCCGCTTACATTTCGGTGCATGCGTTTAGTATTCAAGACGGCGAACGATACCGACACTGCCGCTATCCACGTGTTTACAAATTTTGTTTTGTACGGCTTGCTTTATTTAGCTAGAAGATTTTGTCGAAGATTCGAACGAAGGTTTTGAATCAGAGATATTTTCTTGGATCGAAAAAAAACTGGTGTACAGTACAAAATACGCTTATTTCTCGATTACGATCTCTCGTTAAAGAGTACTGTTTTGAGTAAGATTCGTTTGAATTAAATTATATATGATTATTTGTATAGAATTTGTGTTAAATTTATTATCCTTTCCTCTTTGTTCTGTCAATTAACTGCGTTGAACTTCCCGTTAAAACACCACGTGATTCTATTTTCTCACGTGACTACCAGACGAACTGTTATTGGCTGATAGAAACGCGTCTTGGCGGCGGCCGCGGCAATAGATAGAATTCAACCAACTTTTGCGGCACGAGAAAAGTGGCATAGAATTGACTTCTGCGGCGAAAAAAGTGACGTCATTCTGCCGCTTTTCGCTGCCGCGCCGTATGTGTGCATCCTCCTTAAAACTGCACACCAACATTAAATATAATAGTAGTAGTAACCTTACGTGCACCACTCCGAGGAATCCTTTAACTTCCTTTCTTCTTTGAATTGCCTCACCCTCATTCTTCCCTTTCCCTTCTGCCAAGTAAACACTTACACAACGCCCGTTGTCTTTCATTAAAATTTAAAAATTCGTCCCGTCGGCGCGAATTTCGAACGCGGCCCGACAATGGTTTGCCCGGACGTTTCGAACGCGCTCGATCCCCCGAAACCGGATACTCCGGTTGGCGGCAAACAAAACTCGAAGTTGTTTTCCGCGAGATTTCGGTGGTTAATTTTGAAAAACAATTATTGTGAATTTCGGTTCGGACGGCGGAGCCAACCTCCGACGATCACGCCAATTAATTAATTAAGGTTGGAATACTCCAAGCTACATTTATACATTATAAAAATAGTTTTATGTCGTGTGGGAATCGATTGAGATGAAAAAGAGGAAAACTGGGCAACAACGGCCAGATTGATTTTTTAAAAATTTGTAAAATTCATTAGGATACAGCACAAAGCTAAGTTTATCTGGCTATCTTGTCTCTGCTAAATAATTAAGTGTACATGATGCTATCTGCAGAATTTCAAATCGGACGGATGAATTGAAATTGCAACCATAAAAGAAAAATGTTACGTTGATGATCATTATTTCATCAACTATGTCAGATGTACTGTATCCGTCCAACAAACTAATTTTTGGGCCGCGACATGATCCTTTTTGGAGTAAAAGGACTGAAAACAGCAAATGCTGTTAAAAAATTTTTTGAAAACTCTTTTTTGTTTGAAAACACGTCTTGTCTATCATTATTGCTCTTTGGTCTACCATGTTCAGACATAACGATCGAGCAATTGTATTTTCGTTTAACTAGTGCGAAAATGAGGTTTCGTAACAAATTGTACATTAACACCCGAAGAAATCTTAGGAGTGAAATATAGTATATAGTGAAGAGGAGAAACATACGGCGCATTCATGGTCGAGGAATGTTTTAATTCTTAAATATTCACCTGCCCATTTTCCGCCTGTTGGTGTGTCTATGACCGACGATGGCAATTTTCGGTAGAGGTTCCTCCGCGGAACCGTTACAGCTGCTGAAACTATGGAATTTTTATGGAATTTTTTGTTTTAATTTCATACCCTTTATACTTTTTACTTTTCCTTACTGATGACGTACAATTTATGGGAATTTATATGCCGTGGAAACAATACATCATACTTTTTAATTAAAGTTTATTAAAGACATTAAAAAATTTTTACATGACAGCACGCAGGCTGCAATTGATAATTACTATTTTACGCGTACAGATTGATATTTTATAGCTGATTACATATTTATACTTAATACAGTACAGTAGAGCGTCGTTTATCCGAAAGCTGGTTATCCGAAATCATTCCAGTCGGCAAATTTAAATTTTCGCTAGTGCTGTGGCGCTGCAATCTTCGGCTATTTCTCGGGCTACTCAAATATTTTACGTTTTTGATACTAAATTAACATCTGAAGTATAATTTTTTATTGTTTTTATATTTTTCAATAAATTTATTTTGTTTGTACAAAATAAAAAAATAATTTTTAACGATACAATAGTCTTCGTTAGGCTTAACATCGACGAAAATTCAACGCGAAGCGACACGCAACGGAGAGAAATTTCAACATGGGATAAATTAATATATTTTTTCGTACATGATTCGTTATCCGAACCACCCCAGTCCCCAATTGATTCGGATAAACGACGCTCTACTGTATTAACATTTCTTACATAAAAGTTATTATACAAATAAATAACACTACAATAAATTTATACTATACTGTATATAAAACATTTTTATATTTTGCATTTCTATGCATTTTACGTAAATATGCAAATTTTAAAAAAGTTATATTAATTAATAATAAACAATATTTTTTTTACATCTCAAGTTATCTTAAAAGTGTTACCCATCCTGTTATGGGCCAGCTTATTATTTGTAGTCGTCATTTCATCGTGCAGATACAATTTTTATACACGCTAAACTATTCTTAGTATTTTAAAATATTTTTGTAAAAAATATATTTTATCCGTAATCATATTCTGTAATTTCTACACAACCAAGTGTAAAGACTACAACAAAATATCAAATGGTTCTAGGAACGCTTTTACTTCCGTACAATTTTTATCGATATAATTATTAACATAATTATGTTTAATAATAGTAAAAACGATAGATATACTGTATTTACTTTCAAAGATTAAGGGCCGATTGCAGAGACAACGTTTAGAGGCCGACGGCGGGTTTACAGATCGGGTAGACCGC